GGCAGTACCCAACCTAAACCCAAGACCCAAGACCCTAAACCCCTTTGGGCAAGAGCACCTTGCAAGTGTCGCAAAACCCAATGAAGATGGGATCGCCAACCTTGGCCAGGACGTTGTCGATGCTGCAGACCTTTCAGCTCAGGGTTCAGGGCTTAGGTTGTAGGGGCAGACCTTTCAGCTCAGCGTTTAGGGTTTAGGGGCAGACCTTTCAGCTCAAAGTCTAGGATCTGAGGCAGACCTTGCAGCTCATGATCTTGCGCCACTTGCATTAGACGCAATAAGAATTATGGTGATACATAAGATTCACTGTAATGGCTATATAAAAACTGGGGTAGTGATAGTCATTGGAACAATAGAAGGTGGTACTCATCATCGATCACACGCTGTGCAATGGTACTTGCTTTGGTCCCAGGCACATAGATGCTCGTCACACCCCTGCTCTTCATGTCAGAGACCATTCCCTCCTCTACCAACGCTCGAAAGATGCCGCCGTTGCCATTTGGGTTCACAGCTATTTTGTGTTTTTCTTCGAGCAGGTACTTTCCGCGTTTGTCGCAGATTGGGTAGTCTCCCTGCGCGAAGAAAAGAACGTCCTGCTCTCGTATACCGAAGAACTCATTCTCACGGAAGAAGTCTTCAATGATTTCTTTGTTGTCGCGGTTGCACATTATGTACACAGGAATGAAGACAGCCTTCTTGAATTTCCGCTGAACTAGGTGCTGCAGCCTTCTAATTCTCTCGATGTACAGCTGGAAGATCGACTTGTGCGAAAGGAGCCCCACATCTAAAGCACCCTTGGGAACTTGTCCACCAATGCGGGAATCTCTCCCACCGGACATGATCACGATCGCCACCCTGTCCTGGTCGGTGCATAGCCCTTGTGGCGTACAGAACTTTACAATTCCCACATGAACTTCCTTAACTACACAAGGACAGGGCTGACATTGGAGCTGTCCAGGAAGCTTTCAGAGAGCTTGTATCCCAGGATTCTAGAAAGCCGAAGAAGGGTTATCGGGGAGTGATATTGGTAGCAATAGGACTGAGAATGTTAAGCATGGCGATGACAGTAGTAGCAATAATTACTAGAAGTGGATATGTACACTCTAGTAATAGGTAATGGTGATAATGAAAGAATGTGGGAATAGAAGCAGATATAGCAATGTGTCATTAATCATGGTAACCGCTTAAAACCCTATGACCACTAATGCGCTCCCAGCATCCATTTAACTTTCCATGTTCTTGTCCATTTGCCACATTCTTAGGATGATATTCATAAACTCCTATAATCCCTATACAACCCCTATTTGAGCCATAGTCTTAACTCGATCCCCCTTAGCAACTGAACTCCTATAATAATCCCCTATATAACCCCCCGTAAGGAGTTTAGACGATAGCTCTCCCTAGACCCTTGAATCCCTATAATTAACCCCTAGATACACCGATGACTTAGCATCCCCCTAAACCCTAAACCCTATATAATCTCATATACCCCCCTTTAAGGAGAGCAGTTTAGACTCTAGCTCCCTAAACCCTAAACCCAAATCTCACCATTCCTCCTAGAAATCTTGCGCCAAGCGACGCGGGAGTACATCTCAAGGCCCAAGGTCTGCCATGCTGTCCACTTCCTCCGGCTAGGGTTGAGGGTTAAGGGTTCAGCATCTCAGGTCCAAGCATTCACCTGTTAAGCAACGTTATCCAATAACAGAAAAATACCCACCCGCCCATTGGGTCCCACATCATTAAGAAAATTACGCCCTAAACTCTACATCTTAAACCCTAAAACCTAAATCCCAAATTCTCAACTTTAAACCTTAGATCCATAACTCCAGTCTCTTGCCCACCAACCTTGCCCACCAACTTTGCCCACCAAATTCATGACCTTGCCCACGGAAAAAATGACCTTGCTCACCAAATTTATGACCTTCGCCCACGAAGATTTGGTGGGCAAGGTTTTTGGTTGGCAAAATCATTTTTCGGGTGGGAAAGATCAATTTGTTCTGTGGGCAAAATCATTTTTTGGAGCCAAGTCGAGACAACCTCGCCCACGATATTTATGACCTCGCCCACGAAGTTTATGACCTTGCCAACCAAATTTATGACCTTGCCCACCAGATTTGTGGTGACCTTGCCCACGAAAACAGTAACATGTAAGATACATATGATAGAGAGGTTTAGGGTTTAGGGCTTAATTCCTGAACCCTAAACCCCGAACAGTAAACTCTAAAGCCGAGATAAATACAAATTGCATGGGGCCGAAGCAAAAGCAAAAACTCGGTCAAACCTGCCCTCCGGACCTGAAGCTCTACAAAAAAATTATGAATATAAGCCCCGAATCCTAAACCCTACACCCTAAATCCGAAACCCGAAGTCCAGTGCCTCTCGCTAACATCGGAAAGCTTGGTGAGGTTGGCCTGGGCTTGGATCCCCCTCGTTTAGGGTTTAGGGTTTCGGGGCTAGGGGTTTAGGGTTTGGGGTTTAGGGTTTAGGGTTTCGGGGCTAGGGGTTTAGGGTTTGGGGTTTAGGGTTTAGTTGCTTTGCCGGCTTTTTTTCTGACTGCACAGTCCAGCCAGAATGCAATTCAAAGTCTGCAAGACAACTGAAAAAGTCTGCACACAAGCCAGCAACTCAGCGGGGTTTAGGGCTTAGGGCTTGGTGAGTCCTCGCTTCATAACCCCATATGGGGATTTCCCAAAATCGGGGATCTAGTGGATAATGAAAAAGAAAATGGTAGCTAATTACTGTTTAGGGCTTAGGGTTTGCCAAAAATGGGGGTTCCTTGTTGAAGGTCCTTTTGATGAGAATACTAGTATTTTGAAGCCTATAATGTTGAGTTCATTATAATAATATAATACCCCGCTCCCCGCCGCGTAGATCCGGGCGGACCAACTTCGAAACAAAGATTCGGGAAATTGGTGGGTTATAATAAAATTCTGAAGCCTTGAGCTGTCTCGGAGTAGAAATAGTAGGGTTGCGGGTTTGAGGTAATCCGATTTCAATTGCGAACCAGGATGTTTGCGGATTGTTGGGCCGGCGAATTTTACACAGTGCACCCCCTGACCGCCCAATATGTGCATAGGGCACATCAGGCAAAATATAGGTTCGCAATTCAAATCAAATTAAAGATTCCAAATCTCAGGATTTCTGGCCTCCTGAATTTTACTATTTTCATCTCCTTAATAATAACTAGCCCTACATTACTGGGGTCCGCTCATGTGTGGAAACTACCAAAAATAACCCGTGATACAACCCCCGTAGTGCAACCCCATAGATGACCCCCTCTGTAGGGAAACATCCATCTGCATTCCAGCCACACCTGGCTGTAGCTTTGGAGGTCTTTTGAGATCCTTAGCTCTGGCAGCTTCCAGCTTGGTCTGTCTGGGAGATTCGGATGTTTTGCACAATTAAGGGTCCCTGTTTGGGGGGTCCCTCTGCAATGGTCCTTGCAATAAGGATTCTAGTATTTCGGGGTCTATGCTGGAGTCCCCCCATGTATGGAACTTCAACTTAACACAATCAAAGTCCAACCCAGCAGAACCCTAAACCCTAAACCGCGCGGTTGCCAACCTCCCTAAACCCTAAACCCCAAACCCTAAACCCTAAACCTGCCTAGGCACCCAGTTCATCAGGCACGGCGGCACTGTCTGGATGCCTTGCTCCGCGAAGCTGACTTCGTCCACGCTATGAGCCCAGGCGTTTTCGAACTCCTGCAGTGGTACAACAGACCCCCTAAACCCTAAACCCCCAATTTTCCCTAAACCCCGAAATCTTATAGTCCCCCGTCAGTAAAAATAATATGGTGTATATGGGGACCTTTTTTTACTGTACCCAAAGCCATAATTATTCTATCTACTTAAAAGGCACTAAAAACCTTTAACCCTCAACCCCAAATCCTAAACGCCAAGAGGAAGCCTAGTGGCTGCGCCAAGATGACTCGGGAACCCTGCCTCTCAACCGACAGTTTATTCTTATCATGACTATTGTTATGATGATTATTAGTATTATTGTTAATTGCGTTATGATAGTACTAGTATCCTATTATTTCCATTATCCAATATTCTTTACCTTTCTCTCTGGTATTTGTACTGTTTTTGCTACCTATTAGCACTATTAGTATGCTGACTGTTGTTCTATCTTGTTTATAACTATTGACCCCACCCAACCCAACTCCGACGGAGAGGAACCTAACCGTAAACCCTAAAGCCCGCAGGCTTTCTAGCCCGCATCGACCACAGCGTCGACCCAAATTGGATGCCAGCCTGACCGGAACAACCCCATAATCTATCATAGCAGACCATAATACACTAGAACATATCATAGTATACCACAATATACTAAAAAACTAATATACCATAATTTACCATGATATACTATGATATACTAACGGGACGCGCAGCCAGCGCAGGATCATCCCCGGCCCAGCCAACCCAATCGAACCCAAGGCGCATGGAGGGCGAACCGCGTCACAGCTCACGGAAATACCCATTCCGTTCGAGCGACATACGTGTTGCAGTTCAGCGATTTTTAGACAAGGCCGGTCAGCCCACTCCAGCTAAACTTGGGCTGGGCGCGAGGTTGGGATAATATCCGCCGAGGCCGGAGGCCTGGGGCCTTTAGATCCAGGTCCGAAGGTTTGGAGCGTAAGTTGGTTTAGGGTGTGGGGATGTCCTGGGCATTGATTCGATCAAACTGGTCGTCCAGCTCTCGCTGCTCCTCCTGCGCGAGCTCATCGTAGAAGGAGAACACGTGATCCTGGCCAGCCTGCGCAGCATTGGGAGATGGCTAATACATGATGACATAACAATCTTGAAATAGGGAAACCCCAAAATAGACACTAAAATGCTGTAACCCTGATTCATGTTGCACTCGGGTTAGTGTATGGAAACCCCTAAACAATAGAGCCCCTAGAAATTTGAAATGGCATCCTCAAAGGCTTCCACGGTACTGAGGGCCCGGGGAGGCCCTGGGAATTAAATTCAAGGGGTCTGGATTCGGTGTGGAGCCCAAAACCAAAAAAAACATTAAAGAGAATCCTGAAACAGCAGGCCAAAACTCTCTGAGCTGCAGCCGAAACATATTTAAAAGAGCCTCTTGGCAAAAATGAGTGTAACCAGGGATTACCAATCATGTACCCCTAATTTTGGGAAACCACCCTATCAAGCTTGTGAAAGGCCTGGTAAAACAAAGCAGGTGGTGGCTTTATGGTTACTATTATTAGTCAGCATTACTGTTACTAATATAGTAGTATTACTACTGTGAATTATTCTATTATTCTAAATATTATTCTGAATAGTAGTAGTAGTAGTAGTAGTAGTAGTACCGGCCTGCTCCTCGTCTGCCTCATCGTCGTCATCTTCAACCCCCTCTGCATTGCAGGCTTTGATGATCTCGGTGCAGGCATTCTCCAGCGGTCGCGGCAGGAAAGAAAACATCGCTGCATTAGGCTCGGAGGCATGTTGTGTGGAGCCTCATGCCACATCAGGAGCTCCTTGCTTCAAAAAGTTTTGTTTGCTACTAGAATGCTTGTGGTACAGATTTGTCTGGCAATCAAACCCGCATTTGGAAGCACTGGACTCATACGAGGGGTCAAACTTCTTACAGAAGATCGCTGCCACTCCATTTCAAGTCGAAGCTTGCGATATTTGCTGGCACAACCCCATCAAAATGACACGCTTCTCAGGATCCCAAAGCCCATTGCGATATGTCAACCTACCTTGGGCATCACAGCTGCGCACGACCAAACAAATAATTGTCATCTTGGGCTGTGCGAGGCTCGCGCTCGCTCTCTCTCTCTCTCTCTCTACTACATAATATATTAGGGTTTATATATATGGGCTAATGGACAAGAAAATGGAAACTACTATAGTATATTAGGGTATATCTTGGGAGAATGGAAAAGACTCTCTCTAGGCGGCTTGCGATCGTCCGGGCTTGACTTTGAGAGCGTAACCTGCACGAGGCAGCATTAGCAGGGCGCCTTCGCCCCAACGATATGAGCTATAGTCTAAACTCCTAGTATCCCCCTTAATATCCGCTAGTTGTAATGAGACAATAGAATCCCCTATATAACACCCTTTGATCAGTTTAGACCCTAAACCCTGAACTCTAAACCCAGTATAACCCCCTTGAAGTTGTTCAGACTACAGCTCATGTGGGATTGAAATTGAAATGCTTCAAGCGCAACTTCATCTAGCCGACTTGACCAACAAGAGGCAGTTTAGGGTCTAGCGTTTAGGTTTTAGGGGATGTTCTGTATCATGCAACACGTTGACGTTCTGCATCTCAGTGTGGAATACGGAAAGATATTCATTGTAGGAATATGTAAGGATGCTAGCCCATTATTCCCTACGAACCCTTAACCCTAAACGAACAAGTGAGTTGAAGAAGGACAGAACCACGTGAGCCATAGTCTAAAATCCTGGCATCCCCCTTTCTCACCCCTATACTACTCCCCTATACAATCCCGTATATAACCCCTTTTAAGGAGTTTAGATCATACTAGAGATGGCCGTGCGCCTCCCAAAGCATGCAGCCATCTGGAGTCGTGAGGCCTTCGCAGCAGGGGTTTAGGGTGTAGGGCTGGGGAGATTCTACTGGTTTGCTGTTAACGAGCTTAAGTTACTATATTTTTGGGTATGCAGGAAAACAATGTTGCCTTGTTATAGCATTTAAAACAAAAAGTTGCTTAAAGCAGGGTTCCAATTAATACCCCCTTCAAACAAGTAAGGGAACTGAATAGCGCGGAGGCCCCCAATCAAATTTCGGCGAACTTGCCTGGGGGGCAGGGGGAACGCGGGCCCTGTCAACTAGCTTTCCATTGCTGGGGATCAATTCAGTTCTCAATTTGGCGAAAAGTTCGCTCTATCCCGAACCCATCTCATTAATCGGTTCAGCCGCAGGTTCGCGCTATTCCGAACCCATTTACGAATCCGAAGCTAACATTAACACCAACCCAGTCTAGTGCACTTCTTTGTTTGGGAGATTGGTTCTTGGGATGGGGCGGTCTACTGAAAGGCCTCCCTACCAACTCAAATCAAACCAACCGACTGTAAACCCTAAACCTTGGGTCAATCCCCCACCCAGGAATGGGTACCACAAAGGACTATGGTAGGTATATTAACGCCCCTGCTAACTCCATATTTAGGGGCTATACCTGTAGGAGGTATGAAAACCTCAAGCCATAACCCCTAAATCCTACCTAAATAAACTTTAAACCCTAAATCCATATTTGGGTGCTGTTACTGTAGAGGGGATTGCCGTTATCTAAACCTAAGGTCAAAGAGCGGACCTCGTCCTTGGAGAGGAGAGCGCAAGGCCTAGGCTGAAAGGACAAAGATTCTGTGCTAAATCCAAAGCCCTAAGCCCCATGCCCTTAACCAAAAGCCCATAACCCTAAGCACTAAAACCTAAGCCCTAAAACCTAAGCCTTAAACCCCAAACCCTAAGCCCTAAACCCTAAGCCCCAGCCCCAAACCCTAAACCCTCCTGGAGGCAAGCATCTTGTGACCCTTGCAGCTGGTGTAGCAGTTTAGGCTTTAGGGGGGCCCTAAACCCTAATTTAGAACATAGGGTTTAGGGTCAGAACAAAACACAAACAAGGACCGGGCCACTGCCTCGGAGTTCATGGGGCCCAGAGTCGCGGCCTCACTTCTGCAAAGAACACTGGCAGCTGCCAGGTGAAACCAGCACCCGTCAATTCAGGGATATACAGTACTTCCTGTTTAGGGTTTAGCGTTTGGGGTAGTACCCGCTCAATCCAGGATTATCCTTGAATCATATTACGTAGATCCGATTTAGGGTTTAGGGATCTTCGTATCATGCAACAATTACACTCCCCCAAACTAACATGGAAACCCATATAGCCCCCTTTTTAAAGGGACTGTAGTCTTTATAGGGCCCCTTTTGGGTTTCCATGTTAGTTCCCAGGAGTGTATTCCTTAGTCAAGGGGGTTTAAACCCTAAACCCTAAACCTAAACCCTAAACCCTAAATATTGGGCTCACCAGGTCTTGCTTGCAGCGGCTTTTTGAGCAAGGCCCCGGGCGCCGGCATGCGCCAAGATGGGCGAGGAGGCTGACGAGCCGAGTGGTGGGTAACCCCCCGGCCCCACAGTGCCTGGGCTTTTTGGAGAACTCTGGGTTTAGGGTTTGGGGTTTAGGGCTTAGGAGCTAGAATGACGTGAAATATGATGCTTATATAACCCTATATGATCCCCATATAGCCCTAAAAAACTTCTATACAACCCGCATATGATCCCTACAGAACCCCAGTCTCCTGTGTAGGTAAACAAGCCTCTGGCTGCAACCTACTGGTGCTTAAGAGGGAGATGTAGGCCCCCACTTTCCCTAAACCCTAAACACTAATCCTAAACCCTATATCCTAAACCCTAAACCCTAAAATGGGGATCCACTCCCCCACTCTCGCTTAAGCACCAGTAAGGCAATGCTTGGCTTCAGGCGCGCTGCAGGCGAAGGGCCCAACGGCTGGAGCGAGTTGACAGGCCTCACGGTGGCTTGGGCTACTGCTCTAACCCCTAAACCCTGTAAACCCTATAAGCCGGAATCATAAACCCTATGGACCCTAAAAAGCCTATAGACCCTATGAATGCCTGTATACCTTTTCAAACCCCACACTGACCCCATTATTCTGAGTTTTTCGGGCGTCTAGAGGCTGCAGGGTTGATGCTGCCGCTGCCTTGCTGGCAGGAGCCTTCAACAAGAGCAAGAGCCCCTACCCCTAAACCCTCAGCCCTAACCGTTAACCAGTTGACCCTAATCCCCAAACCCTTAACCCTAAATCCTGAGCCCTAAACCCTAAACTCTCGTCTCCAAACCCTAAGCCCTAAACCCAAAGCACCAAACCCTTAACCCTAAACCCTAATCTCTAAACCCCAAGCCCTAAACCCTAAAGCAGCTGTCCCAAAAGTTTCAGGAGGACAGGCGGTGTGCCTCTCAGCACTTAAGTTCGGCCCCAAGGTCCTGGAACCTGGCCATTGTAACAGGGTGTCTAGGGTTGTAGGGTTTGCGGTTTTAGGGTTTAGGGTTTTTAGGGCTTTGTTGTTTTAGTGTTGTTTATTGCTTTTAAGGTTTTAGAGTTTAGGGGTGTAAGGTTTAGGGTTTCGGGTTTTAGGGTTGAGGGCTGAGGCGTCCATGCCATGGAGGGCACCCGCCCCTTTGCACACAGAAGCCTGAATACATACCGATGATGCAGAATCAAACGGAAAGAAAATAGAAAATGAAACGGTTTGGGCTTAGGATTTAGGAATGTTTTGTAGCTGCCCCCAACGTAAACCCCAAAATGCTATAGTCCTCATGAAGGGGGGGCCCCAACAATGGTACCCCTAAATTTGGGAAACTCCCAGGAAACATTCCATGTTCCATCTCGTGAGGGAACCTTCACCACCGCCAATGCTTCTACGGGTGCAGCAAATTCCCTATCCATGTGGCTAGTTGTCAAAATGATGGTCCCTTTCTGGGTACCCTAAATATTCGGTGCCGTATTTTTTTAGGGATCCAAAAAGGGACTATAATCTTGACAACCACCCATGTGAGCTATATAGTCTATTCTCCTAGCATTTCCCTTTTTTGCCTTTTTCTACTCCCAGGTATAATGCCCTATATAACCACCTTTAAGGAGTTGAGACCGAAAAAACCCCAAGCCCTGAACGCTATATCACCCCTAAACCCTATGTCAACCCCTTTAAGGGATTTAGACCCTAAATCCTAATACCCTATATAGCCCCCTTTAAGGAGTTTAGACCGTAAACCCTAAATCCAAAACCCTTTACCCTAAAGCCTAAACCCTATAAACCCTAATCCCCTGTATAACCCCCTTTGGGGAGTTTAGGCTATAGCTTCCCAAGATGTACCTCCAAGAGCTGGCTCAAGTGGCGCTGCCTCCACGTCCAGGAGCGCTTTGGGGTTTGGGGTTTAGGGTTCAGGTTTTAGGGTTTAGGGTTCAGGCTTCAGGGTTTACGGTTTAGAGTTTAGGGAAACTTCCCAAATCTTCCGGCATCAACCCCCATGCAAACCACATGTCCAGACGTGGAGGTTTCCGAGAATTACGGGTACCACTTTTGGGGGTCCCCGTAATAAGGGTTATATACTATGGTGATCTATACGGGGGTCCCCCAGTTTTGGGAAACTACCATTTGCCGATGGGTCTGCGAAGTTCTGCGCAAGTGCAGCCGCCAAATGCGAAGCCTTTTCCAATTGCTGCTGCGAAGTCATTCCTGGCGACGCGGAAGCATGTGCTGGAAAGGAATCGCCAAGCGCTATCGAGACTACACAGCTTGCGTCCTGCCCATACCACACAGCAATTGTCGGCTGTACGTTTCAATGCAATGCTACCGCGAGTACGGTACACCTCATCATGTCAAAGCCGTCTGAATGCATCACCCGAAAACTTACACACAACCTGCCCGCATGCCAGAA